TGACAACATTATGATTGCTCAGGAGATGTTCCATGCTCTAAGAACCAAACCGAGTGGACGAAATAAGAGGATGGCTATTAAAACAGATATGAGCAAGGCATATGACAGGATGGAGTGGTCCTTCACTGAGGCTACCATGAGAAAGATGGGTTTTTCGGAAATCTGGATTACCTGGATAATGCGATGTGTGACATCAGTAAAGTATAAAGTTCTTATGAATGGCCAGCCAAGAGGGAATATAGTCCCGGAGAGAGGTCTACAACAGGGGGATCCTCTGTCCCCGTTCATTTTTATTCTATGCACAGAAGCGCTCGTTAGCCTTCTAAATCTTGTAGAGAATCGAGGCAAGATAACTGGGATGTGCATCACGCGGGCGTGTCTTTCGGTATCTCACCTTCTCTTTGCTGATGATAGCCTATTCTTTTGCAAGGCGGAGCCCCGTGAATGTGAAGAAGTAATGAAAGTGGTCAGAAAATATGGACAAGCTTCAGGACAATGCATTAATTTCGACAAATCATCTCTACTCTTTGGTAAGAGAACTGGACAGGATGCCAGGAAAGAGATTAAAGACACACTTGGGATTCAGAATGAAGGCGGGATGGGAACATACTTAGGAATCCCAGAGGATATCAGTGGATCTAAATGCAAGCTTTTTATTTTTTAAAGGATAATCTAAGGAACAGGGTAAATGGATGGACAGGATGGTGGTTATCAAAAGGTGGCAAGGAAGTTATGATTAAGTCGATATTGCTTGCACTTCCAACGTATGTAATGTCTTGCTTTCTGCTTCCATTGGAGATATGTGCTGCTCTAGCTAGTGCCATTGCACAGTTCTAGGGGAGTTCGAACCCCCCAAAAAGAGGTATTCACTGGTCAACATTGGATAAGCTGTGCTTATCTAAGGAGGAAGGAGGAAGGAGGAATTGGGTTCAGAATGATCCATGATTTTAACCTGGAATTGCTAGCAAAGCAGCTATGGAGATTGGTTCAATACCCAGATTCGCTGGTAGCTCGAGTCTTGAGAGGCCGATATTATCGTTTGAGCTCGCCTTTGTGACAGCTTTATGCCAGTAGTCCATCGTATGTACGGACAAGCATATCGGCGGCAAGAGAATTACTCCTGCTGGGACTTAGACACAAAATACACTCGGGCTATGAGGTAAGAGTATGGGAGGACCCATGGATTTCTACAATTCCAGCGAGACAAGTGTCCTCAGTTGCACCGGTTTTGCATCCGAACATGAGAGTGATCGACCTTATAAATCAAGGAACAAAGTCTTGGGATCTAGATCGACTGGAGAACTACATAGATGTGACTGATATACCACTGAAAAGGAGTATGACCATTAGTGCAACACACCGCAGGGATACGTATTACTGAAGTTATACAAGGAACGGGCAGTATACAGTTAAATCTGGATACTGGGTTGCACGGAATATACTAAGGAAGGAGGAGGAAGCAATAGTTTCTGAACCGAGTATAACGAAACTCCAAGCACATGTTTGGAAGGTTAAGGCACCCCAAAATATGTGCCATCTTATGTGGCAAATAGTAACATGCCATATGGCTGTTACAAGTACTTTGAACTATCAACACATGAGATGTGATAATTACTGTCCACGATGTGGAGAACCAGAAGAGACAGTTGCTCATGCAATCTTTCAATGCTCACATGCAAGGCAAGTTTGGGTCTTATCATCTACGCCCACCAGTCCTACCTTGTTCCCATTACAGAGCACATTTGCTAATATGGATTATTTCTTCTAGAGGAAAAATGCCATAACGAAACCAGAAATGGACAAGGATCCTTATCCATGGCTAATTTGGTATATTTGGAAGGTTCGGAATGATAAGCTATTCAGAGGAATTGATAGAGACCCATTGGAGTTAGCCCGTTATGCCGAGAGTGAGTGCCATGCCTGGTTCCAAGCCAATGAAAAGGTTATATTGCCAGATCAACAGAACATAGATGTTGAAACCCATGCCACAAGCTTGGGAAATATATGTTTGGTAGACGGCTCTTGGACCTCTACTGATCAGTTCAGTGGATGTGGTTGGGCTTGGAAGGACAGTATGGGTAACTGCCAGTTAATGGGCATGCGGAACTTTACTAGAGTGGAGTCTATTTTGCATTTTGAACTGGAAGCGCTGCGGTGGGCAATGGAGAATATACTTCAACATTCGCCATGTCAGAGCTTTGGGACGGACTGCAAGGAAATGATAGCGATGCTCAGGAATCCTCATGATTGGCCAAGCTTCTCAACGGAGTTGGAAAAACTCATGACGCTCCAGATATGCTTCTCATATTTCAAGATCTTATATGTTCCTAAGACGCACAATGGTGTGTCAGATTCTCTAACTAAAACTGCACGCTCCTATTATCGAGAATTGTTGTATGTTGGTTGTTCTGTTCCGGTCTGGTGTATCTGACTACCTCATTCTTGAGTAATAGATCAGTCTTTCGTTGTCAAAAAAAAGAAAAAAAAAGAACGAGACTATAATAAACTTACAAAACAAATGAAAAAATAAAACAAAATGGTCGAGAATTGACATTCGATAATGAGAATATTATTAAAACATTGTGTGAGGGACAAGAAATTCTACCAAATGATATTGAACATATACAGAAGAAGAAGAAGAATTCATGATTTAAATAAATTCCAAAAAACCAAGATTTGAATAAATCTTAAAAGAAATTTACAAATTTCAAGGTTTTGAAAAAAAAATCAGATTTTAAAAGTAAAAAAAAAATCAGATTTTTTAAAATTTAGATATTTATTTAAAATAATATTTATTTTTATTACTTTTACTCAATTTTTCTTTTCTTATAAAATATATAAAAGTTTTTAAAATCTGATATTTAAATAATTATTTTATTTTATTTGCATTTCAAACATTTTTAATTTCTTTTGAAAAAAAGTATGAAGTAAAATAAATATATATATATATATATATATGCATATTTTTTTTAAGTTTCAAAAAACATCAATGGAGCTGGTATATACAAATACGCAAGAGTTTCTAGGATTAGCTATTCTGAGAGGAGATATATCTAACACGATGGACTTATGATCATTTTTTTTCATGGGAATCCGATGTTGACTTAAATTATTTTATTGAAATAGATTCCACGCCTTAGACACGATAATTGCTTATCTGACTCAGTTACACGAACATGGGTAAGGTAAAATCTATAATTACTTAGAAGTCGGTTCACAAATTTTTATGTTGCAGTGTTGCACATACTGCCATGTAAATCACGACATAGCATTACAGAAGTCAATACTTTTTAACAGTAGATATAATAGCAGCAACTAAAATTCTATTCACTCTCACACTACAAGAAAACACGAGTTTTACTAAGATGACTTTGCCTCGTAATTTCTTAGTAAATGATTCATTACTAGGAAATTACGAGGAAACGCGTTTTATTGTAACACGTTCATCGTAAAATCTTTTTCTTCGTAAGTTCCTAGATAATTTACGAGGAAACTTTTTATCGTAAACGCGTGGATACTTATTTCGTCGTAACATCCTCGTACAGATTTCCTCGTAAAGTCGTAGTAACTAATCTATACTATTATTTGCGAAGTGATTTTTCGCAACGGAGCTCCCACGTTAAAAGTTAGGGTGGCTAATATCTATAATACCCTTAATGAATAATCTATTTTTACTTTTATTATAAAATTTAATTAAATATAGAATTAAATTAAAGATATGAATATATCTCCTTTTCATAATATGATTTAGTTTATTCTTTATTCTTTATTCATATGATTAAAGGATTATGGTACGATTTACATGTTATGGGATGAACACTACTGATATCGTTTGGTATTTGTCTTTATTCTTTATTATCCTTATAATCATTGGACTTATCTTTCTAAACAAACCGATTAAACATGGCTGTGTATATACTATATATACGTTAGGTTAAATCCCATATCCTTCAAAGCTTCAAAAGCAAACTTTCTAATATCTAAATATACAATTTCTTACTCAGTGCAAAACATGTCTTATCTACGTAGGAAGCCAGCTACTTTAGTGTTGATTAATGATATTAAACCAGGGAACAATATATACAAATTAAAGGTTCAAGTTATAAGATTGTGGAAGCTGTGGAGATCGAAAAAAGTTGTCTCCATTGAGATGGTTCTTGAAGATGCAATTGTAAGTACACTACAATATTAGTTTTGATGATTTTTATTAGTTTATGTAAAATTATCTTACTTTCCAATTGTAGGGAACAAGGATACATGCATCCATTGATGAGGATTTGATAGAAATATATGAAGCAAAGGTGTCTGAGGGTGTTGCTTTTTTTATAAGCAATTTTACGCTTGTGAATTATGGAACAGAATATAGGACTAATCCTTTTCCGTACAAGTTGACGTTTTATCGAACGACAAACATTACTCCTTGTGATGATTTTCCTTCTTACTTGCCAAACAAGTATCTCAAGAATTTCACAGAGATTCATTCTGGGATCTTCAAGAATGATGTTTTAATTGGTTAGTAACTTTCTAATTAGCATATGTATATTTAATAAACATGATTAATTAAATTTCTAAAATATATACATATTTTCTTTTCTGGTTAAGATGTTGTTGGTCAGATTGTTCATGTTGGTGCTCTCACTGAAATTTATGCTAAAGGGAAAAAAACTAACAAACTCAATGTTATTCTTCGTGATGAAACGTAAGTGTCTTTAATTTTATTTTTCAGTTTTTTTTTATTAATGTCTTCATTCAGTTAATTTGATTTGGTTCGTTTGTCTTTTTTATAGTGCTTCAGATTTGACTTGCACTCTTTGGGGTGATTATGGGAAACAAGTTTTAAACTATGTTGAAGAAACTAACAACTCAATTATTGTTTGTGTTGTGCGTTTCGCATGTGTTACCGAGTACAAAGGTAGCTGTCAATATGTTTTCACTAATAATTATTCTTATAAGATACTTACTCAGATATATATTATTTTTCTATATATACTTTGTAAACTATGTTTCTTTTTTTTCTGATTAAAGGAGTTCATGGTATTTCGAATGTGTTTAATGCAACACAATTGATATTCAATCCTCCTGGTCCTCAATTTGATGAATTTCGGTCAAAGTAAGTTTATACACAAAAGTATAAATAATTTTTAATAGTGTTTTGTTACCATGTTTAAAAAAATTAAATTGTTCTCAGGTTGCCAAAAAATGACATTGTTCTCACACGGGATGATGGAAAGTCTGGATCTACTCTTTCTTGGCAAGATGAGTTATTTACTAAGAATCCTAGGAGGACACTAAGAGAGATATTAAGAACTAAAGAGGTATTTAAATAATGAGGAATTTGTGTATATATATATATTGTTTTAACTTGGTTTTAGACATTGTAGCTGAAGTGTGTGTATATATATTTGTTTATAGACTGGGAAGTATGTCACCACTGCAACTGTTAAGTCAGTGGAAACTAATCCAAGATGGTATTATGTCGTGTGTGCTGTTTGCAAAAAGACGGTTCATCCAATTGAAGAAAACCCTGGCGATGAAGAGGGCCCAGTCATGTTTGATTGTCTACAGTGTAATCAGAATGTAACTGAAGTTCTAGCCAAGTAAATTTATTCATCTTCACTTTAGGTTTAATTTTGAAATTATATACTTGACATTATATTTTATTTTCTATTGTCTTCATTGAATGTTTCATATTAGGTTTAAATTGGTGCTATTGGTTACTGATGATTCCACTGAAGAAGCTAGGTTTCTTATTTTCGACGATATAGCTTCTCCTTTTCTTCGTAGGACAGCAGATGAATTAGCTGAGGAAGTGGCTGAGGTATAATGATTGAGTTATTGTCTTTGTTAATATATATAATATATACTGATAACAAAATTCAATATAGATTCTGTTTTTTTTAATTCTAAGGATGATGACTCCGTTTTGCCAAGAGCTCTCAATGATTTAATAGGCAAAACATTGCTTTTCAAGATGAGTGTTACTTCCAATAATTTGAAGAGTAGGAAGACAACTTTTATAGTTGACATAGTCACGGATGACGATATGATCATTGAACAGTTTTTGACTCAGAACTTATCAAAGGTATATAATCATGTTCATTTTCTTAGTATATGTGTGTTTATTGTTTTACTCTATTTATTTTAGAACATTGATGTTAGTTTTGATTTATAGGATGCTTCAATTTCATATGCTGATGATGCTTCAAAATATCCGACTCTGAAAAATGGGAATAATAAAAGGCAGGGAGATGTCATAGACGATGATGTTGTAAACAAACAGAGGCATTAGATAGAGGGCTTACTATAATTGGTTTTGTTTTATTTTTTTTTCCTTTAAAAACATCATGGATTTTTTTTTTTGGGATATTTAATAGATTAATAATTATGATATTTGTATTAGTACTTATGGAATTATCTTTAATCTATAATGAACTATTATTTGGTAAAATAAACTAAAAACTGTAAATAAATAAGTAACAAGTAATGAAGTTATGGAAAATACGCCAAGGGAAAGTTTATGGTTCTCCTGAATCAAGTTGTACTTGTGATCCCTTTTGTGCAACAATGCGTTTTTAATAAGTTTTTATCTATATTCATATTTTTAAAGAGTTTAAATAATTTATTTATAATTGATTCATGAGGATATGTGTTCGTGCATCCACGGTGAGGATTGGTAACTCTGTGCATCAATTATCACAATGTATTAATCATTCTAAATTTAAAATATTTACGGTCCAAAAGCTGTTGTCCAAGTTGTTGCAGTTCGTGATGCCACATAAGGTATTTGGATGACTAATAGTTGCTTATAATTTACCTATTCTATGATCAATATATCTACTTTTACTAATGGCGAATTGAATATAAATAATTTATGGGGTTGTTTTTTGAATACGCAATGGATTTGAATCAGTGTGGTTATTTAGAATCAGAACACAATCTGAAGTACAAAAATTATACCGTAAATAGATATTAAATTAAACATATATTTTCATATTCCGAAACTTTTTAGTAATCAATAAGCAACAACATAATAAGTATAGATATTTAAGATATATAACTATCATATGTTGTTACAATATTATATTTAGATAACAATAACATATATATATATATAAAAGGGAAAAATAACTAACAAAAAAAAGGAAAAATAGCCGTCAAAGAAAAGGAAAAAAATAAGGTTATATATTGTCTCTTTCTATTGATCAACTTTACGTAAACGAACGAACTGGCGGCTGCAATCTAATAAATTTTACCTTTTATCTCATTGATTTTTAGGTATATTGTTCTACTATCAGCTTGCCAATTCTTCGTATAGTATTTGAACACTTTCATAATTTGACTGTGTAATTATAATTAATAGCTTTGCGATATGAGACCAAGGAAAGATACAAGGAAGAATACTAAATCTGTCAAAATACCACCATCAAATAGAAGTGAGTATTTATTGTATAAAGTCAGTATATACTGAACATATTTAAAACTAATGATATGAACTCTGTTATTGTTCCTCAACTTTTAGGTTTTGTGTCCAAGTCGGAGCAATACGCACCTCCTGCTATGGAAGAACCAAATGTGTTCCACCAATTCATAGATCTATCAAGTTTAGGTAGGACAGGTAGTTATAAAATTGCTAGGAGGAAGAGAATGGACATATTGAAATTAAAGCGACTCAAAAGAAAAAATCAAAGTTCTGGTAATCTTTCTATTCACAGTTATTACTTAAAATCAAAATTTTAATTGGATTGTGTTTAATGATTTTTCATTCTCATTGCAGAGTTACTAACAAAACCTACAGATATAGATGATTTTGTGTGTTTTTTGGCGTCTGATTCTGAATCAGGCAATGATGATGATATGGATATCAACATTAGAACTACTACTACTACCAAACAAACGCCTAATGTCACAAAAGATTCTTTATTCTCTCCTATAGGCCTCACCGATACGGGTTAGTAATTATTAATAGATTACATATTTGTTTCTTAAAAACATGGCATAATAAGATCTTCGAAAGACTTATTATAATTACTGTAATTTCAGGATATTATGATGATGGGGATCCTTCCTACGTTTGTGGGTATTGTCAAGCTTATATGTGGTTTGGTGAGCGAATTTCCAAACGATGTGTAGGCGTAAAACCAATATTCACGATGTGTTGCCATAAAGGGAAAGTCAATCTCCCAATACTCAAAGCACCTCCAAAGACTTTGTTGAGCTTGCTTTATAACAAAAATGAAACAAGGAGTCACTTTCGAGAACTCATAAGAGCATATAACATGATGTTTTCATTCACTTCTCTTGGAGGAAAAGTAAATCATGCCATTAACAATGGCTCGGGCCCTTATGTTTTTCAACTGTGTGGAGAAAATTACCATTTAATAGGTGGTCTCTTACCAGCTCCAGATAAAAATCCAGCTTTTCTACAACTCTACATTCACGACCCAGTTAACGAGATTGCAAATAGAGTTGCTTCTTATGGGTAAGAATTTTATTCTTAAATTAAAGGAACGTTACCGAATTAATTCATTACTAACAACCTTTTTTGGTTTAACAAGGAAAATGGGACCTACATCGCAAATAAGACTGAATATTGTTGAAGCCATTAAAAAAATGTTGGATACTCATAATCCTCATGTTAAAGCATTTAGAACAGCACGGGACAGATTTTCCAACAGCGGCGAATATCAGAATCTACGACTGGTACTTGCGAGTGAGAGAACTACTGATGGAAGAACTCATAATCTTCCAACTGAAAAAGATGTTGCGGCTTTGATACCCGGCGATTTTAGTATGGCATTTGAAAAAAGAGATATTGTTATTGAAAGTACTACAGGAAAGCTACAGCGGATAAGTGAGTTGCATCCAGCTTACTTGCCATTACAATATCCATTACTTTTCCCCTACGGAGAAGATGGTTTCAGACTAGGAATTGATATTGGGTTTGTTGATAAGGCTGGAAGAAAAAGAAAAACAGTAACAATGAGGGAGTTTTTTGCTTTTCGTATACAAGAAAGATATCGGGAATCACCTATAATCCTAATGTCTGGGAGATTATTCCAACAATTTTTGGTGGATGCATACACTATGATTGAGTCTAACAGGCTCCGCTACATTTTCTATAATCAGAAGAAACTACGAGCTGAGTATTATGATAAAATTGAGGCATCTGCTGATAGAGGTGAAGACGACCTTTCAGAACAAGGTAAAAGGATTTTTATTCCTTCTTCTTTCACTGGGGGGAAGAGGTATATGATGCAGCATTATTTAGATGCTATGGCGACGTGCAAGTATTACGGTTATCCCGACTTCTTCATTACAATAACTTGTAATCCTAAATGGCCAGAGATTACTAGATATTTACAGAAGCATGATTTAAAAACCGAAGATCGTCCAGATATTTGTTGCAGAGTGTTTAAAATGAAGCTTGATAATCTTGTAGAATATTTAACGAAGGATAAGGTTTTGGGCCGTGTTAATTCAGGTACACTTCTTTTTCTTATTATCTATTAAATAAATAATTTTGTGAATAATCTTATAATTTAAATTTAAATATTTTGTAGCAATGTATACAATCGAGTTTCAAAAGAGAGGATTACCCCATGCTCATATGGTACTTTTCCTCCATCCAGACTCTAAGTTACCTACAGGTGATGATATAGATAAATTCATATCTGCTGAAATACCAGATAAAGATTTAGAGCCTTACTTATACGAGATAGTTGGAGATTTAATGATACACGGTCCGTGTGGTGAGGTTAACAAAAAAAACGTATGCATGCATAATGGGAAGTGTACAAAGTTTTTTCCAAAGCCTTATAGCTCGATAACAAAAATTGATGATGCTGGATTTCCTATATATAGACGGCGTTCTGATGAGAGGTTTATCAGAAAAAAAGATTTTGATTGTGACAACAGATATGTGGTTCCTTATAACGCTGATCTCTTGAAACGTTTTCGCGCTCACATTAACATTGAATGGTGCAACCAAACGAGATCAATCAAATATCTTTTCAAGTACATTACAAAAGGTCCAGATTATGTTAGAGCTTCGGTTCAAACGGATGATACAGATGATAGTGTCGAGAATGAGATACAAAAGTTCTTTAGTTGCAGGTATGTGCTAATAATATACAACTCTTTTGTCTTTTTCTAATGTTTTCTCTTTGAGTCAATAGTTTTTTTAGATAAAACAATAGGGTCTTCGGGAGGGTTCTTTTGTTTCTTTGTGCATTGTGTTAGTTTAATCCACTTTTATATATTTAAAATTAAGATAGATATATTCTGTGAAAGAAACGTAAGTCAAACATATGAGTTTATACTGTTAGGTACATAATTAATAGTGGGAATATGAATATTTGTAAAAAAAATGGATAGTTTAACGTGTTCTTTTTATTTTTTTAATATGTATTTTCTTTTCTATTTTTTAATTAAGAATCATGATATCCCATAAATAGTTTTTAAACGTCGACTACCTTATAAAAAAAAATTAATAACTACAATTAAATAGGAAAGTATATATTCAAAATAGTGTTGACAGATATACTTAATTGGTGATGCAGGTATATTTCAGCCTGTGAAGCAACTTGGAGGATATTTGCTTTTCCTACGCATTACCGAACAACCACAGTGATTAAACTTTCCTTCCATTTACCTAATCAGCAAATGGCAATTTATAATGAAGATGACCCTATTGATGAAGTTTTAAATCGTGCTTCGGTATTGCGATCAATGTTCCTAGCATGGATGGAGGCAAATTGTAAATATCCAGAAGCAAGAGAACTAACGTATGCGGAATTCCCCACAAGGTTTGTTTGGGTACAAAAAACAAGAGAGTGGAAGCCACGTGACAAAGGTTTTGCAATAGGAAGGATTACATATGTGCCACCTAAATATGTCAACTCATACTATCTCAGAGTTTTGCTCAACATAGTTAAAGGCCCAAGGAGTTATGAAGAGATACGTACAGTCAAAGGCATTGTTCATAAGACATATAAGGATGCATGTTACGCATTAGGATTATTGGATGATGATAAAGAGTATATAGAAGCAATTAATGAAGCCAGTTTTTGGGGAACAGGGAACTTTTTAAGGAAGCTATTTGCTATAATGTTGCTTTCTAATAGTATGGCTATGCCTGTTAAAGTTTGGAATGCAACATGGAGACTCTTAACAGAAGATATATTATACAAGTTAAGAAAGGAAAATAATAATCAAAGTAAGTTATGTTCTTCTTTGTTTATTAGACTTATATTACGTTTGTGGTATTTTAACCTCATTTATTTTTGCCTT